TCACTATGGCAACATCTGTACAGTGGTTACCGAGGTTTCCTCTCCTCCGCTGAAGAGGGAATTACTGTAGGCTTACACTGATGTCAAAGCGAATCTACTCGGAAACTCTCACCCACTGCGGACAGAAACATTTGAGCGGCTCTTTTATACAGTGTCACAAAGTAGGTCAGGTCATCAAAACACTTCTTCACACACACGGCCTCTCTCTCTCTCTCTCTCTCTCTCTCTGTAGTTTACACCGCTTTACTTCATGCATTGCTTCACTGAAATACATTAATATCAGATTGCATAAGGCAAGCATTGCTTAATTGTTCCCAATCGTGCAGGAGTTCAGCGAATCCTTCAGAAAGCTTTTGAATCTGGACATTTGAAGATGTAAAATGAAGAAGCAATCGTTCTTATGCGTTTAAAGGGGTCATCAGATTTCTCTGATGTTTGTATATATATATATATATATATATATATATGAAGAGTTCAGATGCAAAAGCCTCTAAGTGCCATTTGAAATTTTCTTCTAGAATGACCATTTTTATCAAGCTTGTATATTTAAGTTCAGTAATTTCACTTAAATGACAATGAGAATTACCTATTAATTGTTATTTAAGTGAAATTACTGAACTTATTCACTATAAAATATACAAGTTTGATAAAAATCATCTTTAAAGAAGAAAATTTCAAATGGCATTTAAAGGCTTTTGTATCTGAACTCTTCATATATATATATATATATATATATATATATATATAAGCGCTCTTCTCATATTGCTATTGGAACCCCATTTCCGCCACATAAAGGGGGTAAAAAAAACATGTTTTGCTTGATTATGACATAAAATGATGACATTATGACATACTACGTCATAACTTTGAGATTAAAAAGTGATTAGGACAAAATAAATTATAATGAAAAAATAAATAAAGTCAAAATTACAATTTAAATATATAATTATGCCTTGGTTACGATTTATCAAAGCACGATTTTCTTTTCCTTATATGGCAGATTTGGACTTTCTTAAATCATATACTATTTATATAAATTTGTCATTATAAAAAAAATACTTTATTTAATCAAGCTTTTGATTGAACAAATACATTTTATTTGCATAAGACTGCATCTGCGAATAGTAATACGCCATCACATCATAAGCCCCGCCCCCTGCCGTTCATTTCAGTGCATTGATGCTCATATGTGTCTCTGTACAGACTTTGTGTGTGTGTGTGTGTGTGTGTGTGTTTAGAGGATATGGACAGGTCTTAAAAATACTCAGAGCAATAGGAAAGTTAGAAAATAAAAAAGATAGATATAATAATAAATAGAAGGACTTCCACTTTCAGTCTTGGATGTTTGGAAGTAAAGAACTGAAATAAACACAGAACTTAATTTTAATCCTCTTTAATCGAGTGTGGCTCAGTGTGTCATCAGGCCGCTGGCATTTACAAGAAAAAGAAAGTTCAAAGAATGACGCAAGAAAGAGTTTCCTGCATTTGGCAATCCCGAGTAGACTCGAAGCCAAAGCACACATCCGCCCGCACTCACACACACACACACTTAAACTCACACTTACACGCACACACTTAAGTGAGAGCCCGGCACAGATAATCTTGCCGGACTGGTCAGGCTCTGTCAAGGGGGTAATCAATCCATCAATGGGAGCTGCCATCTTGTAGCAGAACTTCACTTGCGTTAGCATTCCCATTGACTCCCATTCATTTTGGCGTCACTTTGACAGCGAATAACTTTACATCTGAGGTGTTTGAAGACCCTATTTGTCCTTTATTTATTTCTAAAGAAACACGACAATGTATAAAAGGCTCCATTACCTTGTAGCTTATATATGTTATGGCCCCGTAGAAGCAGTTTTAGTGAAAGTAAGCTAACGATTGCGTCATACCCACGCGACTCTCTGTCGCACAGTAGAGAGATTACTAGGGTTGGGTATCGAGAATCGAGTATCGATTGGAACCGGGACTAACTTTTCGTTTTTCCCGGAATCGTTCAAAAGTTAAAATTTCGATTCCTAGTTTCGATATTCACAGTCCGCCGAGCGGAAGAAGAAACCGCTGAACAACACCAACGAAGAAGCGTCTACCGGAAGTGTTGGCATAACCGCGCGAGTCGAACATTAGTAGCTTACGTCGACGATCCAAAGTGTGGCTTCACTTTTCTAAAAATAACGAAATCTCGGCAAAATGCAAAATTTGTGACAAAAGGAGTATTTTTACAGAAGGAGTATTTCCTTCAGATAGGCCGTTGGTTAGCAAGGTTAGCTAAACTTTTTTGACCCTGCCTCTTAAAAGAATCGGAATCGAGAATCGTTAGGAACCGGAATCAAAACATGGAATCGGAATCAGAATCAGAATCGTTCAAATTCAAACGATACCCAACCCTAGAGATTACCATATAGACCGGAGGAGAAGCTCGCGCGCAATCTGGGAAACGTGGAGGCAAAATGACAAAATAATTAATCAGAATACCCAGCAGAATTGTCTCCTTCTCCTAAAGGCTTTTATAGCTGATCGACAAGTCTCCCAAGTTTTTGAGGTGAAAAAATACGGTAAGTTGTTGTGTAAGGGCAGTTCAATGACAGATCTGAGGCCTGAACCTAAAACACTTAGTTTCTGGTTAAGTTTGACGTGACAGCGTTGCAGTTATGGGACTGAAACTTGAGTCTTGAGCCAAGTGAGTGATGCTTTATTTTCTTGTCGTGTGGTTGGTCAGTTCTTTATCTTGTTCTGATGTTTCCCATATGGCCAACCTGTACCTGGTCAAGCCTTAGTGGCCTTATTTCCATACAGTCCGCTTCATCATTTGACCAGATACCGCAAAGGTGTGTGACTCCTGCCTTACCAATGACGGTTTTCCTTTTGCCTGTTTTTGACTTAATTGTGTGTTTGTTCTCCTACCAGATGAATGCCACGGGCTGTGCCTCTCTTACTGTTGATACGTCAGTGTTTTTCAACACCAAATTTGAAGACAAAATGCAAGACGCATTTCTTGTACAGGTGAGCTATTGGCTGATCTGAACCATATACTCTTTATCATCTTTACAAGACATCCACTTTAAGCCACAAAGTTGATATTCTTCACTGTTTGTTTGGGTGTTCTCCCGCAGATGTAATGGTGTCAACATCTGCATTACGTTTGTAGTCGGCAAAGTCACATTTGTGGACCTCCTGGATCAATGCTTAATGGAAAGGTAAGCAAAACGTCATCCCTTATCGCAGAAGCCTTCAAATTGGTTCCCTTTCCTAACCTTGATCATTCCTTACAGATATCCGTGACTCGTTTTGATAAGACTCCAATTGCAAACAAAGCTGTATATCTCAGGGATGTGTAGCCTATTATCCCCTTTACTCTTCTCTGTTTCCACTAATGAGCTTCAGTGTAACCAGGACGATCTTAGCTTGATTAAATATGCTGATGATTTGGTTTTAATTTCTTGCCAAACAAACAAGAACTGTTCTACCTACTCTGAATGAGTAGGCGTCAACCGGAAGTGTCTATCCGCACACTCGCCTGTGTCTTAATGCCTTTCTTGTGATAATGCCGCTTACTTCTATCATCTCCTATTAAGTGAGATCACATTGTATGGCCACTTATAAAATAAATAAAATAAAATCAGATTTATAGAGAGAGAGAGGCCGTGTGTGTGAAGAAGAGTTTTGATGACCTGACCTACTTTGTGACACTGTATAAAAGAAGCGCTCAAATGTTTCTGTCCGCAGTGGGTGAGAGTTTCCGAGTAGATTCGCTTTCACATCAGTGTAAGCCTACAGTAATTCCCTCTTCAGCGGAGGAGAGGAAACCTCGGTAACCACTGTACAGATGTTGCCATAGTGATTTGTTTCACTTCAACCGTTACATCAAAAAATGTACACTGTAAAAAATAACCGTGATTTTAACGGTAAAATACTGTAAAAATGCTACAGTGCAAAACTGTTAATTGGTAAACAGAAAGTTTCCGTACTATACACGGTAAATAACTGTGATATAATGTTACAGTAAAATACCGTTAAATTTACCGTTTTTGAAAGTGAAAAAGAAATCATTGTATAATTTACAGTGAAAAACCATAAATTGGCATTCCCACAATTCCCGGTGTCACACTTCACATTTTATGTATTTTTGTTGAAATAACTATAGTTCCTCATAGTTTTATTGTTTTTTTTCTAATCAGTTATGTACATTAGGGTTTATGTTACATTTAATGTTGTTAAATTAATGTTTATTGCATTTTCATGTGTGTTACCATGATGGTGCTTAATGTTTGTGTGAATGACATTGTGCAGCTTCTTTAAATAAGTATTGCTCTATACAAGTATTCACTTGATTGCTCATGTAACTCTCATTACTGCTGTGATGATTGTTGGTTGTCAGTGTATTACAATGATCAGAAAATAAAATACGGTTTATTACTGTAAATTTTAAGTTAAGTCTGTAAAACCATTAACGTTCCTACCGTATTTTTAACGGTAAAGTTCTGGCAACCACAGCTGCCGTTTTTTTACCGTTAAATTTACGGTTTATTTTTTACAGTGTAAGCCACAATATCAAAGGCGACGGTATGAAGACGGTCTTCCAGAGTTGAATGGAGGGTCACAGACAGCAGCTGAAGGCAAATAATAAAATGCAATAATCACATAATTGTGCATTGATGGATTAACTAACCCTAACTTTTATAAAAAGTTATACATATGGACTTGCCAAGTAAAGTGTTAAAACCTTTAAACTTTCTGTATATTTCCAGGTTTTTCTAGTGATAATGCACGTTTATGAGCTGCTAAGGTGCACGCAATTAAAATAAAAATGAATTCAAACGATTTCACTGTTTCATGTTGACTTGAAAGACTCTGATTGTCCAATCTCAGGATTCAGGACTTTATCACACTATACCTCCAGTCAGCTCCACTGGGGTTAATGGTTCACTGGCCTGAACCCAGTTATGAAACACCCAGCAGAGACTGGCCCTGACGGACCTGCAAAAGCAGCTTATCTCAGCTGACACGCTGGTATAAATGCAGTGTTCACCTCCTGTGTGGCTATGAGTCTTCAGAACATCATCATCATCTTCATCACCCGCCTGCACTCGTCTGGTCGACATGGGTGTGGCGTACAGCGTGGGAGAGTGAGTAACTCAGGCTTTTACATTCCACTTTCATTGCTGAATTTGAACCTGTAACTTGAATCCATGCACTCTTATTAATCTGGTGTGCTTCACGTGTCGTCAAAGATGACTGAAATTAGTTTTATTTCAATGATATTAATGTAGGCTACTATATTTTAGATCGATAACGTTTTTTATTTTATTTTTAGGGGATTTTATGTCACTAAATTATATTTATGCTGTATTTATAATTCATTTATTCACTTTTTGAGTGTGAATTTCCAGCTAAACTGGTAAAGCTAGAACACTTTTTAGTGCGACAGACTGAAGTTTGATCTCTTCAGAAAAAAACAGCAGCAGATTATTCCTGAAGGAAACCTAAATTCTATGTTGCGAAACAGTGAGAGTGAGTGAGTGAGCGAGAGAGTGAGAGAGAGTGTAAGTAAGTAAGTGAGTCAGAAAGAAATTAATGTAGGCTACTATATTTTAGATCGATAAAGTTTTTTATTTATTTTTATTTTATTTTTAGAGGATTTTATGTCACTAAATTGTATTTACGCTGTATTTATAATTCATTTATTCACTTTTTGAGTGTGAATTTCCAGCTAAACTGGTAAAGCTAGAACACTTTTTAGTGCGACAGACTGAAGTTTGATCTCTTCAGAAAAAAACAACAGCAGATTATTCCTGAAGGAAACGAGTGAGTGAGAGAGTGAGTGAGTGGGTGAGTGAGTGAGTGAGTGAGTGAGTGGGTGAGTGAGTGAGAGAGTGAGTGAGTGAGTGAGTGAGTGAGTGAGTGAGTGAGTGAGTGAGTGAGTGAGTGAGAGAGTGAGTGAGTGAGTGAGTGGGTGAGTGAGTGAGTGAGTGAGTGAGTGAGAGAGTGGGTGAGTGAGTGAGTAGGTGAGTGAGAGAGTGAATGAGTGAGTGAGTGAGTGAGTGAGTGAGTGAGAGAGTGAATGAGTGAGTGAGTGAATGAGTGAGTGAGTGGGTGAGTGAGTGAGTGAGTGAGTGAGTGAGTGAGTGAGTGAGTGAGTGAGTGGGTGAGTGAGTGAATGAATCAATGAACGAGTGAGAAAGTGGATGAATGAATGAGTGAAAGAAGCATTTATAGTCAAACCAAACCAATTATTTAGACACCAGATAAATTTTTTGATATAGTTTCACTAGTGTGATCAGGACACAATAGTGAGGAGAGCAAACTGAAGTCAACTGTGACATCACTCTCTCACACACACACACTGTTCCTCCGTTGGCCAGAGGAGAACGAGACTGAGTCTGGGTCTGGGTTCTCCCGAGGTGTTTTCTCCATTCTGTCCCTGATGGAGTTTCGGTTCCTCCTCAGTCGCCTTGGCTTTCGCTTGCTTAGTTTGACACTTAACCCCTAGTTGCTCCAGAGGCGTGCGACCTCTGACATATTTTGCAATTGCAAGTGGCTTTGGATAAAAGCGTCAGCTTTGAGCACTTTGAGCTGATGATGTTGTGCTGAAGTGTGTTTTCTGTAAGTGCTAATGCTCTTTTTACACACACACTGAACAACATGAAGCATTGCTTGGTCACTGGTTGAGCTAAACTGGTATTATCTAATTGTGGAGTTCAATTTAACAGATATTCACCATAATTCATGTGTGAGAGTCCAACAGAAGGACGAAACCAGTCAAATATCCACTGATCTGAGAACTGAGTTCTGCTCATGTTTACCAATAAACTGATAATGTGAGAAAGTGTCTGAATAAATCTTGGTTTGAATGTTTATAGTGCTTTCATTACGTACTGTTGCTCACCCAAACTTCATCCAGATGCACAGATGTGCAGCGCAAGTTATTTTTGAACTCAAACTGTTTCCAGTGAGTTCCCGTATCTCACTGGGATAATTGCCCGTGTGTGTGCCGAGAAAGTGGTTTTATTATTTCCAGACGTCTGTCTCTGGGAACGGCGCAGGACTCAAGGGATTCTCGTTGCGTAACTGGAGTCTGGCGTTAAAAAAAGCAATGACTAACTTCCAGGAACAGGATCCATCAACGGAGTCCATGCGTGATAGTCTGATGGAATAATGGATATTCTGAAGTTAAATCCAGTGCATTTGCTCAATGTGCATCAGAAACACACACACATTTATATGCAAATGCTCTGAGCACCAGTTCATGTGAATGCTTTTATAATATGCATCTTATGAGCTCGACTCCTCAAGCGTGCGCTTGGTTTCCTTCAGGGTGGATCATCTCTACACGTTCTTTGTCCAGTGGTCTCCGGAAACCATTTACAGTAAACACACCAGCAAGCAGGATTTCCTGACGGTCCATCCACAAACCCTCAGTGTGATCGACACTTTACTGAATAACTCTGACCCCAAAAACTGGAAGGTATGTTGCACAAAATTCACGTTTATTCAGCATTAATGTGATCAAAGTACAGTAGAGTTACCGTGACTCGAAATCCTGCAGGATCGTGTATATTAGAAATCGTTTACATATACACTCTAAAAAATGCTGGGTTGTTTTAACCCAATTTTGGGTAAAATATGGACATTGGGTTAAAAATGTAATATAAAAATGTAACCCAATCTGGGTTTTTCCATATTCTATCCAAAATTGGGTTAAAACAACCCAGCATTTTTTAGAGTGTACAGCGTTCAAAACTTTGAGATCAGTGAGATTTGGGTCAAATATTGACAGCAATTGGTTACATTCTTAAATTAAATTTTTAACCCAATTTTTGTGTTTAAAATTGGGTTAAAACAACCCAGCATTTTTTAGAGGCTGCATTTATTTGATTTGAAAATGCTGAGATAAAAAAAAACTAACATTGCTAAATATTATGACAATTTAAAATAACTGTTTTCTAAGTGAATATACAGTAAAGTGTAATTTATTCCTGTGATCAAAGCTGAATTTTCTCCAGTCTTCAGTGTCACATGACCCTTCAGAAATCACTCTAACATGATGATCTGATGCTAAAGAAACATTTATGATTATTATCAGTGTGTTGAAAAACTGTTGTGGACGATTTTTTTTCAGGATTCTTTGATGAACAGAAAGTTATATTTATTTCATATAAAATGTTTTGTAACATTATAAAAGTCTTTACTGTCACTTTTGATCTATTTAATTCATCCTTACTGAATTAAAGTAACTTATTGCGTGTTTTAAAATAAAATAAAACAAATTCTTACTCATCCCAAACTTTTGTACGGTAGTGTTTAATGTTACAAAACCTTTCTATTGAACTTAAATACCGATTGCTGTCCACAACTGTTTTTCAACAGTGATAATAATCATAAATATTTCTTGAGCATCATATTAGAGTGATTTCTGAAGGATTATGTTACACTGAAGACTGGAGTAATGATGATAAATTCAGCTTTGATCTAACCCTCATAACAGTGCGTGTTATATATTGACGCTAAAGGGTGCCATGTGCGTAGTATTGCGACGAAATTTCACCTGTATGACGTCAAAGGATGAGAATCAGATAGCAAACTGACATTGAATCAACGTGGAAATATGACATCGAAACAACGTTGATCTGACATCGTTTTGCTCATCGAATTAACGTTGAACCAACGTCAGACGCGTCATTCTTTCAAAACTAACGGAAAATCAACTTGAAATCAACGCGTTGTTTCAACGTTATGAAAGCGAACCAATTTTCGATTTTCATTTTGCTTTGAAGAATGCCGCGTCTGACGTTGGTTCAACGTTAATTCGATGAGCAAAATCAACGTTGTTTCAATGTCATGAGAGACGTCGTTTCCACGGTGATTCAATGTCAGTTTGCTGTCTGGTATATTTACAAACAGAAATCTCAATCTCAAACGGATCTCAACGGCCGTTTATCAAGAACTCGTTGGTTTTCCTGTGAGTGGGTGGAGGAAGAGAGGAAGAAAGGAAACCGAGTGCAAGACATTCTCAAACGAGAAGAAACACGCTTCTTTTCCCGCCCATATTTGGCGCCGCTTCCTCTTCGGGGGTTTTCTCTAAAACGAAACTAAGCTAGAAATGTGGGCTGGGCGGGAGGAGAACTGATATAAACGAGTCAGAGCTCCAGAGTGCCCGGGTTATAATCTCACTGGAGATCTCGAGGAGCTCTGAACGTCTGATCATGAGGTGGATGCAGGACAGCATTAAGATCTTGTACTTTGCCCATGGATCTGAGGGGCCGTTTGTAGAGGTGAGCTTTGGCCGTGATTTGCGACTCTAAATTTGTAGGAAAACTGTGGTTATACTGTACATGGTGACCAATCTGTCAGAGGACATGGTTACCACTTTTACCGTAGTAAAAGCATGGTTAATGTTCTGTAGGCTAAGAGTTGAGGAATGAGTGTTACTGAAACTACTCGCACACGTGTGTGTGTGTGTTTCAGTCAGTGATGCTCCTCTTCTGTGTTCCCCCAGATTGTCACTGTGAACCAGCAGAATAAGCGTTGTGCCAGTGTGTGCAGTTCTGCAGACTCTGAATCTGAAGATCTTCTGCCAGTTTTAATAAACCACAGTCAGATCCTGAAGCAGCACCATCTGGAACACGTATGTGATGTGCTTTTCTGATCTAAGCACTCCAAAATCTATTTGAAATGCATATTAATTTACATATAATATACTAAATATAAATACCCTGCAACAATGGCGCCACCAGGGGGTGGCCAGGGGTGGCCATGGCCACCCCTGGCCGACTCCTGGCCACCCCATTGGCCACCCCAATGGCCAGTATTAATTTTTGTAGCATCAGTTATGCATTTTATAAATAAGTCAAAAATATTCTTAAGTGAAAGAAGACGGGGAATTATGTGTCGTGACGTGCTTTTTAAGTGCCAAATGGTATACAGCAGCTTTTAGGTGTGTTTTTGCCACGTTTGGACAGGCAGGGATGCAAACAGCGCGCTTTTCGGCGCCTCCCGCTTTTTTCACGTCAGTTTGGGTGACAAAGTCATCTGAAGTCATTCCATAGCTTAATGTGAGGGACAGAACTATATTTACATCATTAAAGTATAAACTCGTTTTCCCTCCTCTGCGACTGTCATCATTCTCCATTCATATTCAAACAGCACGCGCGCCTCTTGGATGCACGGTAAAACTCTCTCCAATATGATATATTCACATTATAAATGCATGATCTGTAGATAAAAGTCTGTATATTCGCATAAAATTACTTTATTTTCTTGGAGTTTGTTGCTGTTTTTAAGCGACTCACTACCGTGTTCTGTTAGATCACACATACATATCACAAGGATTATGAATCGGCATCAAACGCACAATAAGTGAAACAAAGGAACAAATCGCACTTGGATTTGCGCGCTCATTTTTCGATTTGTGACATGAGCTTTTAAATGCACACTTCTGAAGCGCAGTGCTGCTGCACACTGTGACTCCATGTTGCTTTGAGCACATCATTCTGCACCCGCGATGTTTTTCATGTAATCATGCAAGAACGGGCTCAATCATGGGTTTGCGCACTGAAATATTATTAAAAGCCAATATATTTTGTTATACCTAGCCTGCTCAATACATTTTAAATAAGCATAATTTAATTGTATATAATTTATTTGTAGTTTAGGCTATGCACTTCTGAATTCTTGACATTAATATATAAATATAAAATTGTGACATGATTGCCTGATTGAATTTTAAAAGAGAACTAATAGTAATTTGTTTTTATTAACATATTTAGATTTTATAAAATTACTGTGCAGATTTTTTCAAGAATTACTTTTTGCTGCTGATGTATACACTCATTAAGTGTATTAAAAATTCATAATACATTTATGTAATATTTAAAGGTGTTAACTGTAATCTTACACTGCAAACTAATAACTTAAAAATGATTAAATTCATCACAATTATGTAAGTATCTGGAAATTTGCTGTGGGGCAAGGACCCTTATATATCATATAATATATATCATTATATACAATGTAATATATATTAGTTGGGCCCTACTAATATCATTAGTAACATTAAATATTACACAATAAACCAAAGTATATCAGTAGGAGTTTCCTTAAGTCTTTCTGATAGTTTTCTACAGGCTGGTTTATTACAACAGTAGAAAACAATTCTGAAATTATGGTTTATACTGTAGTTTTGGTGTGCCACCCCAAGATTTTAACTGGCCCCATCTGGCCACCCCTACGAAAAATTTCTGGAGGCGCCACTGCCCTGCAATTGCACTTTTGGTGTACTAAAACTGATATACTTAAACTCTGATAAATTAGCAACTTATTTTGCACTTAAATAATAAATAATGCTGAGGTCCAATTAAATACTGATAGTGCTTAAGTGGAACTAATACTTTAGGGACACTTTAGATATCTTGAATGTAAAGAATGATAAGATCATGCTATCCTTGCTGAAACACATTTTAGGCTTAATATTAAGAAATGTGCATTGTGCAATAAAGAAGTAAGGTAGCACTTTATTTTAGTGTCCTTGTTACGTATATGTTACATGCAATTACCATAGTAATAACAGTAAATTATGCATAATTACATGCAACTAACCTTCAACCAAACTCTAATCCTATAGTAAGTGCATGTGGTTAACAATAATACTCAGTACTTTACACTGTAACAATGACACCTTAAAATAAAGTGTAACCAAATTTAATTATAATATGTGAACCTGGACCACAGAACCAGTCAGATGTGAAATTGAAAATCTGAAATCGAGATCTACACATCATCTGAAAGCTGAATGAATAAGATTTACATTGATGTATGGTTTGTTAGGATATGACAATACTTGAAAATCTGGAATATGAGGGCGCAAAAAAAAAACGAAAAATTCAGAAATTAAAGATAAGTTGTCCATTTATGTTCATGATTTTGCTGCATTCACTCATAAAAATAAATATTTTATATAATATCGTAATGATTTTTTTAGCATAAAAGAAAAATCTACAATTTTGACCCATATTGTTGGCTATTGCCACAGAAACACCCGTGCGAGTCGAGACTGGGTTTGTGATATTTATGTCAGTAAGCCTCAAGCATTTTGTCAGTAAATATATGTGAATGCTTTAGATGATGCATGCATTGATGTTAATGCTGATCTCCACAGCTGGTGAGCCAGATTCCCGCACGGACTCAGGGTTATCGGTGGAAACTGGTGTACAGTACGGCGGAGCACGGCACCAGTCTGAGAACACTGTACCGGCAGATGGCAGACATAGACAGACCCGTTCTGATGGTCATCAAGGATTCAGACAAGCAGGTGTGTGACATTCATGCTATCAGTCCGGCATCAGTCAAGCCCTCAGTGTGTTTCTATATCACTAAACCTTTTACACTTCAATTACTAAGAAGTTACAGTAGGGGAGAGCGGAGCACAAAATAACAATATATATACAAACTAAAATATTTTCTCAGTAAAATACCATTATTAACTTTTTCATATAAAATAATGCCATTTTTTAATAATTAAAAATAAACACATTTTTGAATTTGAAAACAAACATCATTTCTAAACATTGACACTGTCTTTTTTTCTCATGGTTTCTCGATAGAATTCATAAAAGTATAGAATAGAATATCATAGTAGATCATTGTAACGCAGTGTGACAACATGCCCCGCCTGAGCAACTGGGGTTTAAACCCGGCGAGTGTTTCTGTAGTTGAACAACTATCTCTACTGTTAAATAAATAACAGATATAAGATTAACATCATAGCAGATTTGTCTAATTTTAACTAAACACAAAAAAAACAGAGATGAAAAATTAACTTCATTAAAAGATGAAAAATTAACTTCATAATTTGCAATGGTTAAATAAATGTGAAGTGATATCTTTAAAAAGAAAATTGGCCAAAAAAATCTTAATATAGAATGGTATATGTTATATGGAAACTAGTAAATACACTAAGTTTCATCATACTGGCACGTGTGGAAAGTTTTAAACCATGTGTGTCATGTTAGTTTGTGCCCCGCTCACCCATATATTATGACCTCCAAGTCCATTTGCATAAAACATAATGTGAAATGTCATCGTTGTATTGATGCATTTGGCAGATGATTTTATCTAAAGTGACTTGCATTGAATTTAAAGTGTAAAATGAAATGAGTTCATGCATTCACTAGGAATTGAACCTTTGACCTTGGTGTTGCTGTTTTATAGATGAATTGAGCTGGTTTCATAATTGATGAACTTTACTCAGCTATTGAACCGAAGTGAATCCACACTGAACTGAATTGATCTGATTATCAGCTTTACAGCAGAATTGGATTTAGTTTGCTTGTTATTTTCCTGTTCATCAGCCGTTTTGAATCCTTCTGTATTGTACAAAGAACTGTAGAAATTAATAACACTGACTTGACTTGCATGTGTAGCATCAAAATGGTGAAATGTTGCGCTAAAACGACCTGTCCCTGCGACCCTTAGGTGTTCGGAGCGTTTTCCTCAGACCCTTTCCGAGTGAGCAACTTCTGCTACGGGACAGGAGAGACGTTCCTCTACAGCTTCAGTCCTGAGTTTCAGGTACGGGTCGCTCTGATTTTAATATCTCACACCTGATCACCATTGTTTTACGCTACAACGGTATTTGAAGCTTCTGCTTTCTGGATGAGGAAGTGAGATAAAGATCTATCTTTAGTGTAAATGATCCTTCTGTTCTCATAACTCTTCTGTTCAACAACATTACATCATAAAGCTTCTGCTTTCTACAATAGATTGTGATAATGAAACGAAAACTTTGAAAAAATTTGTTTTTTAATAAAAAAAAATTCAAACAAAACAACAGAACTGCAATTATATAATGTATACATTCATGCATTTATTTGACACCAGTTCATGTGGTTTGATTCACATGCAGGGAATGAATGAACTGATTAAATGTCGTCATCATGATTCTTGTGCTGGAGATTCATTACATACAAATAATTAGTGATTTAATTCTGTTGTGTTTATCTGTTTTTTGTCATATATGACCTGTAGTTAAACTGTAGTTTGACCTGTTGTTCACCTGTTGTTCGATATGTAGTTTGACGTGTACTTGACTTGTAGTTTGACCTGTAAGCCGCGTTTCCACTGCAATTAACAACTGAACTATTTGTCCCAGGAACTTTTTCCCCCCAGACCGCTTTGCTTACTGCGTTTACACCGCGGACTAAAGTACCGGTCCGAGGCGGGAAGATTATGTTAAATTGCGTGTGACTGCTCTTCCTAGCCTGCGCGTTTGTTTTGAGTTTTGTATGGAGGAGATTCAAGCTTTGCTGCTTTTGTGTGCGATTGGTTTACTAACGAGGTAATTAACAAAACGGCAGAAAAGAGAAGAGCACCCAAAGCGTATTCTGAAACCTCATAATGCTAGATATAAAAGTAGACGTTTGTTATCAGCGGACATTGACCGTGAGATGGATGGGACGAACGCGTGCCATCGGGCAGAAAGAGTAGCGTGGTAAGAACCAATCAGCATTGTTCAGCGCACAAGTCCCACCCCGAAAGTTCCTGAACTCTGAAAAAGTACCACCTCGCCAGCAGGGACTTTCTGGGGGGGGAAATTTTTTTACCTGGAACATCATTTAGACCGCAACCGTAAACACACCGCGTACCACCCCAAAGTTCCTAGTTCCTGGGGAAAGTTCCTGCGGTGGAAACGCGGCTGTAGTTGACCTGTAGTTTGACCTGTAGTTTGACCTGTTGTTCACCTGTTGTTTGATATGTAGTTTGACCTGTGGTTTGACCTGTAGTTTGACCTGTAGTTTTTACCTGTTGTTTCACATATAGTTAACCTGTTGTTTGACCTGTAGTTTGACCTGTTTTTTGACCTGTAGTTTTTACCTGTTGTTTCACCTATAGTTGACCTGTGGTTTGACCTGTAGTTTGACCTGGAGTTGACCTGTGGTTTGACCTGTTGTTTGATATGTAGTTTGACTTGTACTTGACTTGTAGTTTCACCTGTAGTTTGACCTGTTGTTTCACCTGTTGTTTGACCTGTAGTTTGACCTGTGGTTTGACCTGTTTTTTTTACCTGTAGTTTGACCTGTAGTTTTTACCTTTTGTTTCACCTGTAGTTGACCTGTTGTTTGACCTGGAGTTGACCTGTGGTTTGACCAGTAGTTTTTACCTGTTGTTTGACCTGTAGTTTGACCTGTAGTTTTTACCTGTTTTTTGACGTGTAGTTTGGCCTGTAGTTTGACCTGGAGTTGACCTGTGGTTTGACCTGTTGTTCACCTGTTTTTTTGATATGTAGTTTGACCTGTACTTGACTTGTAGTTTCACCTGTAGTTTGACCTGTTGTTTCACCTGTAGTTTGACCTGTAGTTTGACCTGTAGTTTGGCCTGTAGTTGACCTGTTGTTTGACCTGTTGTTTCACCTGTAGTTTGACCTGTAGTTTGACCTGTAGTTTGGCCTGTAGTTTCACCTGTAGTTTGATCTGTTGTTTCACCTGTAGTTTGACCTGTAGTTTGACCTGTAGTTGGCCTGTAGTTTGGCCTGTAGTTGACCTGTGGTTTGGTTCATGTGCAGATTTTCCGCTGGAGTGGAGAAAACTCCTACTTTGTGAGAGGATTCCTGGACTCGCTTCAGATGGGAGGAGGAGGGTAAGGCATTGTCATGCTTTTATTAATGTAATATAAAGTAGCAAATGTGAGTTATAAATTCGCTGTTACGTTTTTTTATTTTTTTTATTCTATTGCGGAAACTAGCTTCAATACAATAAAGTAGAAATACTAAAATAGTATTTTCTTGTCAAATGATCTAATGATTCAATCAATGGGCTTTATGCCCAGCTGCACGACTTCCTGAACTTCAGCCAGCTCCTTGTTTCCTGTCTGCCATTATTGGCCAAATTGATTAATTCAGGTGTACCTGACCTCAGTAGTCATGGCAACAATAATCAGACACACCTGAATTAATCAATTTGGCCAATAATGGCAGACAGGAAACAAGGAGCTGGCTGAAGTTCAGGAAGTAGTGCATAAAGCCCATTCCCCATGAACAAAATCAAGTCGGATATACGTCTGAACATTGGCAACTTTTGCATTGGAATAGTTATAGTACTTGGTCTCATCAAATTAGTCAGTCGTGTACTACTGTAATCACTGCCATTGATGCGGAATATAGGGGAAGTTGTTTTACGCTACAACGGTATTTGAAGCTTCTGCTTTCTGGATGAGGAAGTGAGATAAAGATCTATCGTGTAAATGATCCTTCTGTTCTCATAACTCTTCTGTTCAACAACATTACATCATAAAGCTTCTGCTTTCTAAAAAAGATGGTGATGATGAAACACTAAAACTGTGGAAAAAATGCTTTTTAATAAAAAAAATTCTAACAAAACAACAAAACTGAAATGATTTAATTTTATACATTCATGCATTTATTTGACACCAGTTCATGTGGTTTGATTCACATGCAGGGAATGAATGAACTGATTAAATGTACGGCGTGTCGTCATCATGATTCTTGTGCTGGAGATTCATTACATACAAATAATTAACGATTTAATTCCGTTGTGTTTTATCTGTTTTTTGTCAAATATAATATAATATAATAGTAAAAATTATTTAAAAATAGGCCCATATTATTTACATTTTTATGCTGTGAAAATGAACAATTTATATAATTAATCTATATATTATATAATAATAAAAATGATAATAAAATAGGTTTATATTATTTATGTTTTAATGTTGTGAAAATAATAATATTTATATAATTAATTTATATAAAATAATATAATAATAAAATTGGATTGAACGATTTACGTTTTAATGTTGTTAAAATGAATCATATTTATTTAACATAATAATACATTTAATATAATAAAAATTGTTGTGCAAATTAATCATTTAAATTAAATTAAATTCATCACTTAATTAATTTATATATAGTATAATAATACGAATTAAAATAGAATAGGCCACTATGATCTATTATTTACTATAATATAATATAATATAATATAATAATAGGTCCATATGATTTGTTTTATTGTTGTGAAAATTAATAATTTTTATATAATTAACTTATATATAATAAAATATAATAATGCTGATTGATTAAACCCACAAAGTCATATATTTTTTAATATTCTTCCACACTGAAAAAAGGAGACGTGATATTGCACATTCAATGGCATTTCTATAATCTCTTATTCAGACGGCAAACTGTGATAGTCTCAAATAGATCTCAAATAACTGTATCAGATCGATTAATCAATAATCAAGGCATAAATGCACCAGATAAGCATCTGCCAAATGCATGAATAAGCAATAGCCAACAATACACACAACAGTCAAAATGATCCATTTTTCTTTTATGCCAAAAAATCATTAGGATATTAAGTAAAGGTCATGTTCCATGAAAATATTTAGTAAATTTCCTACCGTACATATATATATATAAAGAGCATTTTAGTAAGAAAATATTTAATTGTGAACATAAATGCATGACTTTCTACGTTTTTCTTTTCTTTTTTCTTTTTGCAACCTCAGATTCCAGATTTTCAAATATTGTCGTTTCCTAATAAACCACAGATTCATTCAGCTTTCATGATGCATGCATCTCAATATTAAAAGATTGACCCATGTGACTGGTTCTGTGGTCCAGGGTCACATGAGTGTGTAAAGACAGACTGTAATGAGCATGTGTGTTTCTTGAAGGGGTCCGTTCGGGTTGTGGCTGGACGCTGACCTGTACCGAGGATCCAGTTATTCCTGCGACACTTTCTGCAGCCGGCCACTCAGTCTTCACCACGACTTCACCGTTCAGGATCTCGAGGTCTGGACCTTCATCTGAGTCTGCTACCGTTGATCCGAGGAAACCGGAGGAACCGGTCTGATAACTCGCGGCTGCTGCCTCGCTCGTAACCGGCTTTAGATAAAAGCTTCTGCTAACTCAACCGACAGCAATGTAAACGTAGAGCAAACGAGTCGAGACAGATTTAGGGTTTCCAGTTCCCAGTTCCCGTAACAGGAACCGTTTAGGAGACCTGACGCGACACGATCGGCATTGCTCGAGATCTAACGCTTCCATGTTTCCAACTGTGTCGTCGGCAACACTAGTTTGGAAACGAGACCCACCCGTGAGAACTACTGAGTCTTTACTTTAAAATGCACTTAATGGAGGACCAATGCTTCCGACTACTAAATATCTACGAAAAAATGGTTCTCTGTATGATTGTATGATCTTATTTTTTTTTACTGTATTTAAAGAAGTTTGTGATATGTTGAGTTGGGGGTTTTGATGGTGTTTATCGGCAGTGCTGGCGCTGCATCGTCTAATAAAACATGTTTTTCTGGAAAACTGTGTGTTTCACACTCTCTTCATCAGATATACAGCATTTACATCTGCAATAACTTTACATACAATTCTGAATCCAGTTTGCCATGTAAATTACATGCCATTACATTACATGATGTAATATTCATTATAGAATCAAGAAGTTATTCTAGGCTATATACTGAATGCCACTCCCTTCTGCTTCGCTGCTCTGCGCATGCGCAGAAATGCGAGCCGTTAAGTCATTAAAACGAGAACGTTTCTCATATAATGAGATACTAAGTCATTATTACAAGAAACTTTCTAAGTCATAATGAGAAAGTTTCTCATTATTGTGACTTACTTATATATTTTTTTTACTCAACTGTGGCGGAAACGGGCTTCCATTGGTGTGGATTCTGATATCCTTTTAGAACGATTCTTAGATCTTTAACGTTATCGCTATACTTATCATTTTGGTGTGATTTTATTATTATTATTATTTACATATTCAAATTGTTTTATTTCAAATAGATTTTTTTCAGGTTTAAATTATTACACATGTGTTATTTGCTAAGGATGTCTGATGAGCACGTGCACATGGCTGATTAACTTTTGCTTCATAATGAACGATGTCCGAATAAATCTCTCCCTGAGCCCGGGCAGGTTTGGTCTGTGAGCAGCAGCGCCACCTCGTGGAGGAAAGTCAACATCGCAGAAAACTACAATATATGTTTTCAACTATATCAACAGGTTTGCTTTGCTTGCAGTGTGTTTGCGTGTAGTCTGATGTTACTATTAGACCCTTGTTTCATAGTTTTGATTAATATTTCCATTATTTTCTAAATCGATTGCTACTGTTTTGTATCTGTTTGTCTCTGTCGCCACCTCGCGACGGATTGCTGTAACTGCAGCACAACTGCGCACTGAAAACCGCCACAAAAAACAGGTACATAATCATGAACTTCTCTATCATTGAAATACATCAAACCTCTCGGATGTATGGGGACATTAGAGTGGCACGAGTGTAGAAACGCTCAGACTTTGAGCGCGCGCTGCAGTTCTGCTTCCGCCGGAAGTCGAGTCAGCAGAGAGATTCATTCACTTCCTGGAGAGTGTTTGTGCTGCTGCTGGATTATTTTCCTGCGTGTGTTAGTGTGTTTGCTTGCTCTTGAATCTCGTGTTGTTGATGTGTATGATGTTTTACAGCTGCTGTCCGAACTGACTGCTGTCGGGTGAGTTCTGCTCGTTGTTCCCGGATAGAGAGTGTGTGTTTTATCCGTCAGGAAACAGCAGCTGATGAATGTAAACACGTCAGTTTGACAGATCAAGCTCTTCATTCAGAAACGCGTTGATTCTCCCCGGATGATTTACATATTTAATATAATGCGTTTTTATTATCATCTGCTTAGTTTTATTCCGAACTGTCGCTTGTTTTCGTGTTTATTCGAAGCTGCTGCTTTCTCTTTCAGTTTGACAGAGATCATCATCTGTATAATAAAAGCCCCGTCATGCACACACACACCTTATTCATATATCAGTGTTAATATTAATATGGACATGTTTTGTAATGTTAGGATATATTTGCATGTGATGGTATATGTCATCATTTGTTTCACTTTAGCGGTAATATGTTATAATTATAAATATTATAGCATTTGTAGAATTAAAATATTATACAATTTTTCACTTATTGAAGTACTTGTATTGTTGACTATATTTAAAAGATGTCAAATAATTTGTCGCAGCCAGCTATGTACCAAACATATTAATATTATTGTAACATCATAGCATTATTATTGTATAATTATGGGAAAATTATTGTTTATAATTGTTTAATTATTATATTATTTATTTTTATTATTAATAGTACTCTTTGTGGTTATTATATCATAATAAATATTAAATTAAGTATTATTATTTTTGTTATTGTATTATTTTGTTGTTGAGTTATTAAATCGTGATTACTTGTATTAATCAATTATTAAATACTATTAGATTTTGAATGACTAGACAATTATAATTGAATTAAGAATTAAGATCAATAACTTTAAAATTAGAATTAAAAATTAAATAATTAATATTATTATTATATTAATTTAAGAACTATTATTTTAATAAATAATTAATTATTATTTTATTGAGGTGTTAAATTATTACAGTGGTTATTGATTAATGAAAATTATAAATGTTATTATTACAATATTAATTAAATATTATTAGATTGCTAAATTATATTAAGTTTTAATATTTCTTTCAGTTATTAAATAATATTTTGAGCTATTATATTATTTATTGTTACATATATAGCTTAATTATTAGCAATTATAACATTATTACATCAATAAAAAGATTATATTCAATTCAATATTTTTATATTATGAAAATAATAAATATTATTGCATTATTACATTATTAAAGTATAAAATATTATGCTGTTGAATTTATTAAAAATATAATACTTGTTGTTATTATTATTATTATATTCAATATTACTAGTTAAACATTATATAATAATACTAAAATTCTGTTAAAATATAGGAATTGTGGCATTTTTTTAAATTATTTATTTAACAATACATTGTCATAAATGTCAATAATTTTCCAAATATATTTTTACTAAACCAGAAAAAAATGACACATTGAGAATGTGATGATGTAAACAAATCATTTATCTTTAGAGAATAATTAATTTCTGTGCATTAAATGTATAATAGTACAAATAAATAATTGTTAATATAGTCTATCAATATCATCCATACCAATGTCATTGTTGATATTTTTTATTTTAGTTAATTTATGTGCAAAATAAAGTAAACTGTGACATATTACACTCAAATATTCATTCAGTGACGACTAGTGACATATATAAAAATGTAAATGCAATAATGATTCCTCCACTTTGAGCTGATGATGTTGAGCTGAAGTGTGTTTTCTGTAAGTGCTAATGCTCTTTTTACACACACACTGAACAACATGAAGCATTGCTTGGTCACTGGTTGAGCTAAACTGGTATTATCTAATTGTGGAGTTCAGTTTCACAGATATTCAACATAATTCATGTGTGAGAGTCCAACAGAAGGACGAAACCAGTCAAATATCCACTGATCTGAGACCTGAGTTCTGCTCATGTTTACCAATAAACTGATAATGTGAGAAATGTTGAAGGAGTCGGAATATATATATTGGTTTGACTGTAAATATATACGTGTGTTTGTGTGTCCAGCTGTGGTATGGAGTCTCCCGCGGTGGACGATGACATCTGTATCCTGAAGCATGAGGCGTACGGGCCGCCCGAGAGCCCGGTGTGTGTGTGTGCCGGAGACGAGTCTGTGGCGTCGCACTTCGCTCTCGTCACGGCGTACGAGGACATCAAGAAGAGGCTGAGAGACACGGAGCGAGAGAACGGGATCCTGAGGAGGAGAGTCAAGCAGCTGGAGGACAAGGTACACACACACACACACACACATCAGATCCTCATATTAGAGTGATTTCTGAAGGATCATGTGCAGTGCTGGGTGTAACTAATTACTAAGTAATTAGTTACTGTAATTTAATTACTTTTCCCTTGAAAATGTAAAGTAAGGGATTACTCTTCATTTATCTGTAATTTAATTACAGTTACTTCTGATGTAATTGAGGTAAATACTGTGTATGGATCAATCCGATCTCACAGCGATTCGTATGCATTTTATGAGGTGTCTAAATTGTACGACCGCACTTGTACAAATTCGTATGAATTATTGTAAAATATGTATGAAAAAAGTGTGAAATGTCATGAGATCAGACATAAAACAATAGTGGGTTTAACATCAAAATGTATCTGATGTTAAAGTATGTTTTTATAATGTAACCCTCTCCACCTTGGTCAGTTTAAGGATAATTCATGCAATTTTATGGTATTTATTTGAAAGAATTAAAACAGATTCGTGTCTATCCTTGTATTATTCAGCTGGTTGAGATTGATATGGGATTTTGAAAGTAATTAGTAATTAAAAGTAATTAAATACTTTTTAGAGAGAGTAATTAGTACAGTAATCTAATTACACTGTTGAAGAAGTAATTAGTAACTAGTAATTAATTACTTTTTTAGAGTAACTTACCCAACACTGATCATGTGACACTGAAGACTGGAGTAATGATGCTTTGATCACAGGAATAAATGACACTTTACTGTATATTCACATAGAAAACGGATGATTTACATTCTAATAATATTCCAGTGTTTATGCTTTAATAACCGCGCGGGTGAGCGGAGATGATGCGTGTGATGTTCGTGTGTTTCAGCACTTCCGTCCCGAAGCGCCGCCGTCGGAAGGGCCTCAGTACATGAACCAGGCGTTCAGCGCGTACCGCGGCATCTACATCGAGAAGGAGGACCTGAAGGTGGAGCTGGACAAGCTGGTACGAGACCAAACCCCCAGCATGCAACAGCACACTGACATGATGACACATTCACAATGTCTTCAGGGTTTGACGCAGGTCACGCAGGTTTGAGTGAGGGACATGATGGAGACACACACACACACACTAGAGCTCTGAGTCTTGAGATCAGTTGTAAATAGATAAAGATAAAGATGTGTGTGTGTGTGTGTGTGTGTGTGTGTTTTCCTCCAGAAGAAGGAGAGAGAGGATGTGGTGCGTGTTCTGGCGGAGCAGCTTCAGGCCCGAGAACTGGAGATCCTGCAACTCAAGTCCGAGATGGAGACCAGCCAAGGTGACCTCATTAATATACCGTAGATGGTGTGTGTGTGTGATACAGTGACATCAGCGTATTCATCACACATGCATATATCTGATAAATAACGTATATTTATAATGTATATCTGATGTATATCTGACATTTTTACAGTAAACCATAGAGACTTGAAAGTAAAATATGGTATTATTACATTATTAAATAGCATTAATGTTCAAGGTAGAGTTTTAGTAATTTTTTTGGTGTAAATGCATTAAAATAACTTCCACTTGTTATTGAAGAAAAGCAATTTTCTTTTTGATTGCATTATAATAGCATTATAAATACATTACTGAACAACTATAAT